GTTAAATGGGTGTTGCTTATAATTTAACAGCCGAAATTTAACGTAACTTAATGCCACGTCGAAATCTATTTCATTTTGATTCTCTAAGTTCTACGTTCCGTTAAGTTAAGTTAAGTTGCCATAATCAGGCTTTTCAACGTGCTCGACCACATCCACCATCCAACCCCTTCAGTCACATTTCGTTTCATCTGAACTTGGACTGGAAAAAACTGATGAATATAAAATGCAATTTAAATTTTATTAATTTAATCCCACATTTTCACTTAGTGCTAAATAACAAAAATTTTATTTACAGAATTGGGCATTAAGTCATTCAAGTTGTTCTCACTTAGCATTAAGTGACACAAATTGATCGTCTTTTTGGTGCCTAGTGAAATTCTATAAGAAAAAAGTACTGCGCACTAAAATATTCAAGTTCTTTGTGTTTTTGTGAAAATATTTCATTATAATTCTAAATTCTGCTCTTATCTTAAACCCTCAGCTAGCCGCCAGCGTCAGCGTCAGCGTAAAGCCTCGTCCTCAAAATAGAGCCGCATTGAAGCGAACGGCTTCCACCACTTCGGTGTCCGATTCGGATGATGCAGATGATACACTATTGCGTGGATGGCAACCGCAGAGAAATGTAATACATTTTTATAATTCGCTCTATTTTATAAATTACATACATACATATTTAGTTTTTCATGATCATCATCAATGAATGCAAAAGATCCAACATATGCATACATATCAAGGAAGCCAACTCGTGGGGAATTCCCCTATTTGCGGGGAATTTGAGTTTACGTGGGAAATCGGGGAATGGACCGTTTTTTTTTTTTGTGAGGAATTAGGTGTTAACTAATTCATTCTTTTTTGCTTCACTAATTTTATAATGAGATAAAAAAGTCGCATAAGAAATGCAAATGCAACTAAAAATGCTGATTATGCAATTCTGCAATTTATACAAATTACCGTTGATTGAGAATTTTCTTTGTCGCATTTGCGTTCATATAACGAATAAACACACTTTTTTTATGTGGAAGAAATCCGCAACATTTTCGGGAAAAAAAATTAAAACAAAAATGAGAGGACTACAAAACTGCACAATCAAAATCTTTCTAGATAATCTAATTAAAAAGCTCGAAATTTTTACGAAAGTTTGTAGATTTTTTTTTAATATTACACAAGGTTTGAATCTTGGATTTATACGGTTTTTGTTAAAGAATTAACTATATTTTTATAAAAATAATCAAATTAATAACAAACAAAAGATTATAATGATTGTGAAAACTTGTCAAAATTTGGCGCGACTAACATTTTTTCGACCACTGTATGTGTGTAAACATTTTATATGTAGTATGTAAATTTTTTTATTTGTTAACTAACTTTATAAAAGTTTGGTTTGGTCTATGAATACACACATAGCTGAATTACATTTAAAAAAAATAAACAGACAGACCAGCAATATGTCAAAATACACACAATTTTTTTTTGTAAGATATCCATGGGTGGGGAATTTTACGAAATTACCCGCAAAATCGGGGAATTTCGTTGTCGAAATCGGGAAATTTCAAAAATGAGTTGGTTACCCTGATGCATATATTTGACATCTTTTAAGAAACCCAATTTTTTTTACATATTCATACAAAAATCAAAGATTTGATTTGAATATAGCCATTTAAAGCCATTTTAGAAATTATATTGGTATCTTTCTTTCGTTTTTCGAAAGTAATTTTAATTCTGGCAACTATCTCCAAATTTTTTTTCAATCTTTCGAAAGACTAATTGAAAGTTCAGCCAACGGCGAGGTCTTAGCGTTTTACTGTTTGTCTGCTTAAATTAAATAAAATAAAAAATATTTATTTTTCATTTTAAAACAATAAAAACTAAAAATTAAATTAAATCAAGAAAAAAAAATTTATTATAATATAAGAAAAAATAAATCAAATACGTTTCTTAAAAGTAAATAAATAAAAAAATATTTTTCTTTTTAAAACAATAAAAAATAATGAAATGAAACAAGTTTCTGAAAACTAAATGAAATTGAAAAAAACATCTTCCAAACTATGAAAAAAAATATCTCTGCTAGAATTGCGCTGTTAAAACGTTTCTTTGCATCTCCTGTATAAACTCAAAGCTTTCAAATAACTATCTACATAGCAGGGGTATTCATATAACATGACAAACTGCCGACTAACGTGATAAATTTATAAATTCCATACAAATTTGTAATTTTATGACATTATCTTTTGCATTCATGATGACGATGTGGAATTGCGTATAAACGAACTTTTGATATAAGAAATGCTATAAGCAGTAATTTCTTTGTTCACAAACTTTAAATGAAATGCATTTCAGATATCAAAAGTTTACATGTGATTAAATTTAATTTAATTATATACTTTTTTATTATAGAATAATGTGTTAGGCAGTGATCGATGCAGCACTGAAACGGTGAGTGGAAAAATTCGAAGTACTAAGTTTCGCTTAGCTGGCACGAGTCTCATATGTATGTCGAAGAATAGGCCGCATATAGGCAAAGGTACTATACTCCCACTCTATCTTTTCAAGGTAAGAGCGACTCGCGGGTGCCTTTCTTGGCCAGTTCTTCGGCCAGGCAATATTAATCGGGTCTCACAGCCACAATTGTGAGACTGACTAGGAAATACTCAAAAACGACCATAACATAGGTCAGTCCCAACTAGGTTTTTTAGCAAACTTAGATAGAGTGCAATCGGAATAGATTGCCCCTGTAGCGCAAGCCAGGAGCCAATAAACTAATTCCTTAATGGAGTTACTCTGTCTGGAAAACACTAAACTGATCTGATAGCCTGAATTTAATGTTGGTAGAAGGTTTCTTGTAAAAGTACACTTCCACCAAACCTTCTGTTAAAGTTCCCTGTAAAAGTTCACCGGTGTCTCCTTCCAACTACTGCCCTTCGTCCGCATGCCCTTACCTGATATGTGTGTAATGGAGAAAGGGTAGCATAGTCACGTCATACTCTCCGGGATAAATTCAAAACGTCTAAGAATATTAGAGTGTCCAGATCCTGTGTCGTTCGTTCCACTCAGCGTAGAGTGCACTAGATTGCGGACACTCTGGAGTTGTGGAGGGCTTTGATTTCGTCCCAGTTTTTTGTCGGAAGCTCTCCATCAAAACTATGTTCAGGCTTTCGGAGTTCTGACATTGAGGTCTACTTCAACGGTTGCTCAGTTTACCGCCCATTGACATAATGGCGGAAACCCGTACTGCTAAATCCCGAGGTAGATTGGCGGCCATAGGGGAAATCAAAGTCAGAACCACATATTATATTACACCTTACTTTAATTGCGATCGAAGGTTTCGCATAATAATTGGGGAGCAGGGATGGCGCAAGGGAATGAAAGCAAGCCTCAACATTTTCACAGACGGCTCGAAGATGGGAAAGGGAGTATAGGTGCCGGAATATACTGACGGGAGCTGAACATCAGCCGAACAGCATATTTCAAACAGATGTTTTCGCTATGAGGATAGCAGCATAGCTTGCCTATACGGAAATGAAATTCAACTCGGAAGTAAATTTATAGGTATGCAGTCAGGCGGCAATTAGGGAAGTTAGTTTATATAGCATTTTAGGCAAAAACGTCCTTCGTAGCCGGGAAGACATGGCCGCAAATGGAAGGCTACATATAGGAAGTGCCAACAGAGGAAGACCAGCGAAGTTTTAGAGCATTTTTTTGCTGATGTTCCCCACTGTCAAAAAAGTTAGGGCCTATCAGCTCGAGAAATTAGAAGACATTTCAAAGGTAGAGCTGAAATTAGATACAACTGAAATTCGCAAACAGCGTTGAGGCTTAAAATCGAACTTCAACTGGCAGCGCTAAGAACCTACTCGTCTCTTTGTGGCTCAACGCCGGCCAGTTTTGCCGACTGCCAGCTAAAAATGTACGGCCGGTCTGCTTTATCGACTTTTTCTCGATTGCCTTTAAAGCTTGAAACACATTGAAAACGACGGGCTACGGACCACAACTGTCAAATTATTTTTACACATACTCTTATGTAGATAATTATTTTGGCGGCGACAGAGCAACAACGCGACCGGTTGTGGCCAGATTAGATCTATTTCTATTTCTTTTTTTATGTCAAACTCGAACAAATTCATGATGTCGCTGCCGCGTTGAAAACAATAAAGTCGCCATCGACAAAGCGTTTAGATAGTGAATATAACAAATTGTCAATGTGTTCAGCACTTTATAAGCATGTGAGCGACAAATTTGGCAGGCAGTCAAAGCACCGGTTATCTTTAACAGGCAATCTAGAAAATGGCACTTAACCTAATAAAGCTAAAAATATTTTTTTTTTGTATTTACAGGACATTCCAGGTACGCCTGAAAGCCGCTCGCAGCTTAGAAGGAAACGAAATCGTGTATAATTTTACTTACATAAATAGTTATAATCAAGTATAAAATTCCCACTTTTTATACTTTTCCTCCAAATAATGAAGTTTAAGATATTCATGAATTCAGTATTATATTACCAAGTATCGGCTGTAACCACTTAAGAACAAAGGTTTTAAAAAAACTGCATAACCCATAATACATATATTAGCTGACTAATATATATATACATATATTAGGGTGCATCGTTCTCCATACAAAAAAATCGGTGTCGTTTTTCTTTTGAAATTATAAAATGTATTAAATTAAATTAGGACCTCCGCCAACTTATTTCAAAAAGGTATTAAGATTTCCGTGAGATGGTTCCATCTGAAAACACCTCCAAAAATCGAGTTTTTTATAAATGAAAGTAGTTTTGGAAAATATTTTTCGCGAAATATAACCTCAGATGATAGCACAGTTTTAGCTTAAAAGGTCTGCATAAAAATGTTTACAATTTTTATCAACGTAATCAAAATAATGACATCTTTGCAAGTATTTTCAAATCAGATAGCTAACGTAAATCTTTGTACTTTTCCAAAATATTTTGACGGAAGTCTTAAAATATAATACATTTTACAATACCGTTGGAAAAAGCGCAAATTTTTTTTGGTGATGCACGCTAATGTACATACACAATTATGTATGTAGCTTCAAAATATTTTTTCTTCACAAATGTTAATACATACTACAACTACAGTTTCGTCTTAAACATTGTAAATACATATAAGCTTTTTTATTCACAAATAAAATTTTGAATTCCGTCTATGTAACTGTGTGTGTGTGTATAAAATGTATGTTAGCACACATCTCAGTCTATGATGCCCAAAACTCGCGCCTTACTCAAAAAGTCCGTCCGCTGCACATAACACCCAGTCATGGTGCGTGAGCCCGTATAGGCGTGACGTCCATGGTACACACGCCAATTGTCGAAAATCACCACAGTGCCAGGGTTGAGCTTGAAACTCCATTGATTCTCAATGCGTTGCACAATTTCCAAATAAACACGAAAACTCTCATAGAAATCCTGCATTTGGGCCTGTGGTATGCTATCGAAGACCGCACGATCGTACACATTCAACCGCAGCTGCACTATTTCACCACTCACCGGGTCGACGCGTATAATAGGCGCCGAATGTTTGTGATATTGGCCCTCCTCAATGTATTCGGCGGGCACCGAGACGCGAGTGAGTATCTCAAATGCGCGTGGATTACAATGTTTCAATTCCAGCGCTGCATACATGCCATCAGCGAAGAAATTTTCACCACCCGCGCCATTGACGTGGCGTATGCAGTGCAGTGACTGAAGACCCGCAGCATCACAGAAATACGTATTATCCGTATGCAAGCCGAGATATTGTTTCGTGTATGCGGTATCCGCATGATCCTGCACATCCGAGAAGGTATACATTTCGCCGAAAAATGTTTTCATCGGCGGAAAGAGGCGTCGGACAGCCAATTCGGTCATTGTTGTATTCGGTGGTACGTCATCAATGAAAGCAATGCCATAACGTATAAGACTCTGCACGATTTTTCGTACTATCACCTCTGAGCTGACCAATTCGGCGAGTGTGGTGCGCAAGTGCGATTCGTGTGCTGTGATAAGTGACTGATTCCAAGGCGTGCGTACAGTGGACTCTTGCGCACGTATCACCATGTGTTCCACCTGCGCGGCGTAAAGGAAGTCAATGTCGTAAACGGATGTGTGGCCATCGCTCCCTGAAATTGTGGTAGGACTTGGAAATAACTAATAACAAAAAAAAATCTTTTTCACTCTCGTTCACTTACAGTGCACCTCATATTGCAACTCATCCTTTATGTATTCGACTCTCAATGGTTTTACTGTTTTCGGTATATCAAGCAAATTGTATCTGCGCTGCTTGGTCTCCACATTGTAGCAGTCACCGCAACGACAGTGATCACGTAGCCAAAATGTATTGATTTTCAAAATTTTACCACTGCGTTTATGTCTAATTTGTATCATATTTAAGTGTTGGGATTTGTAAACTGCGCGTTACTGGGCTTCTGTTAAGAGTTAGAAGATTACTATCTATCCAATTGCGAATTGCCGGACTTTGTCTACAAAAATTTAATGCTCAATCGTCATACATACTCATTGTTCTGTTGAAAGGTATGCATGTAGGTATGTACATATTTAAGTATCTCTATCTCCATGTATTCGTCTTGCTTCCGAACGTCAAACGATCAAACAAACTTTGATTATACTATACTATTTAAAAAGTATGGTGATAAGCCTCTAAGAATAGGGTAGCTTTACTGGAAGCCGCTGATAAGCGAAACAGTTTAGACATTCTCACGAGGGCAGACCGATAAGTACGTTATAATTCAGCCTACATAGTTTTTACTGCTTCCGAGCTGAGTACTTTCAAAGCTGGAGTCTTGGTGTCCATTCGAACGACATGGCCAAGCCAACGGAGCCGTTGTATTTTAATTCGCTGCACTATGTCCATGTTGTTGTAAAGCTCATGCAGCTCATCGTTACATCGTCTGTGGTACTTGCCGTCGCCAACGCGTAAAGCCACGTTAATCTTCTAGAGTGTGGTTTTCGTACGTCGAGAATGGACCTTACTCCTGAATTGCCTACTCTGTCCAAGGTAGCACTTCTTGGCAAGAGTGATTCTGCGTTGGATTCCGATGCTGACATTATTATCGGTGTTAATGCCAGTTCCCAAGTAAACGAAATTCTCTACTTTCTCGAAATTATAACTGTCAACAGAGGCATGGGTATCAAGGCGCGAATACGCTAACTGTTTATTTGATGATAGGAGATACTTCGTCTTGTCCTCGTTTACCACCAGACCAATTCGCTTTGCTTCCATATCCAACTTAGAAAGGGCCGCGGTGACCTTTCAGAATTTGAGCTACATTCGTAATGATACTTATTTTTTGTAATACCTTTATCTATGCACATATGAATTTAAATGAGCGCTTCCACGTGAAGTGATCAAAGTAGAATTTGTTTTTCTCCTATTCCGCTCCAACTTGGAGCATTACAAGTACTCAAAGATGCATAGATGTAAATTTTTCGCGCAAACATCTTTTTGCATTTAGTCCAATATTTTCCAAGAAGTTCAATGCCGTCTTTGAGTAAATTTTAAATAGTCCGTTAAGCGCCATCTCATCGATAAGTTATAAAACTTTCCTTTAAAAAAAAAATAAACATTAATTAAAAATTGTATCCTTCACTCAAAAAAACTCAAATATATTTTGAACTAAAGCTTTTTTAGGTTACAAAATATTTTTTTCTAAAATGCATTTTCTTTATTTAATGATTTAAGAAAAAAATTATTAAAATATGCAGTGCAACGAAAAAGCAGCAGAATAGGAGAACAAAAATTGCACTTTCATGACCGGTGTGCTCAAGCTACGCAATAATAATTGCAAGCTTGCTGCTTTTTAACCGACTTCCAAAAAAGGAGGAGGTTATCAGTTCGTCGGAATATTTTTTTTTTTTTTTTTTTTTTATGTATGTTACCGCATAACTTTGGACC